AGCCATATTCCTGGCCAAATACCGCGTAATTACGTATTGATATCTGCTTTAACTTTATATTTCATTGCTTTCATCACCTTTACAACTAAGATGACATTGTTTTAACTTACATCTAAACCGAATGAATTGCTTGAATTTATAGATTCCTCATTAGAAACATGGTCAGTCCTAACTTACAGATTTACTCAATCATTTAATAACCTTAAAATGAGAAAGATAATTAATATTATTATTGTCATTCTAGAAATTACTTATACATGTATCTCGACGTTGTGTTACTTACACTCGCGTGAGTCACAAGGAGTTCGATTCAGAATAGACATTTAATATCACAGTCTGGACAGTTTATGAATAGCAAAGATAAGCCGACGGGGCAAATGATTGCATTGACCAAATTTGAGGGACGTATCTGCGTCCACTGAGTGGCGTTTACATTTGTGTTTTTCAAGGGTACGGTGCTTATTCAAGGGCGGCGCTCGTTGTAGTATGTTTGCCGTCACATGCGGTCGGCGTTTTTTCGGGAAGGGCGCTTTTTCCAGTATTTTCTTTTTGGCTGCCTTCGGGTTAAACATAATCCCAACAACTTTCAATTCCTGGCCGGTGAATATTAATTGCTTTTGTCACAAGGAGGTTTCGTTACTCTCACGTAACGTGTATTTTTTTTTTGTTTAGTGTCGTAATCGAAACGAAATGTGATTGACATCTGATCTTGGAAAATTACTTCGCACATGCATGTTCATCGAGTTAGAGTCTAAAAATATAGAATCTAGTCACGTCTAGGAAAATCTCATTCGTTCCAAAGGTTTGGAATTGGATCTATTATTTCATTTTTCATCTTTTTCAAAATCCAGACGTAACTGATCGATTATCAACGACATCAGTGAGTAATCGATGGGTAATAATTGAGTAATCAACTGATTTTCCGACATTTTTCGTTATTATGAGTGAGGCCCCGTTCAAACACCCGGGGTGGGGGGACTCCCATATAGAAAAGAACGGGGTGCTCGTTGTACTTTTTGGGGGGTTTATAAAGCGCCGT